CTTTACAAGCCTTCTCAACTTCCTCTTCTTGGTGACCTTGTTAGATGACCTCTCATCATCTGAATTTCTAATTTCAAAAATCTGGGCGTCACCAAACAATTCAACGGTATCTTTGCTCGATGACATGACCTAACACAAAGACAATGCACATAACGAGTTAGTACCTTTTTTCTCCTCGACGTGGATAGGGGGAATGTATTGTTGGACTTCAGTGTAGCTGAGGATGTTCTCGAACGATTCCAGAGCGTTGATGTCAGCTCTATACCTCTCGATTTTCTGTCTGTCAGCACTTGTCTAAGTATCACCTATAACACCTAGTTCATGGGTTTAACGATAATCCCACGATATACAGAACTCTTCTGGTGCTTCCACAAATAAGAGTTTGGCTTCCATGTCGGGGAACCGTCGAAGAGTTCTATTATGTGGTCTGATTTCGACGATATGTTGGTCTTTACATTATACCACTCTTTATACTTAGTCGAGGGCACGCAGACTTTAAAGAAATACCTCCACACTATTAGTCGAGGCCTTATGTTCCGTAATTCACAGAGTCTCAGAGAACCGAGGACCGCTGTGACTAGGTTGGGGGTGAATCGAGCGAGTGGAATTTTGTAATACTGAATTATTCTACCAAACAGAGGAAAAAGAGGGAATCTTAACCCTAGGAGCATGAATCTAGCATACATAGTAATTTTCCCCTCTGGTGGAGTGTCAGCTCGTTCATAATCCAATGGTGCTTGATAATCTAGATCTACGGGGAAGTTATACTGCTTGGCGACTTCTTTAGCCTTTGCCTCAGAGTTTATGGTTGAGAAAAACCCAGATACAGTCTGAGCGGCCATGTCTACCCCAATATATATATATATATATATATATGCAAATCTAACCAAATTCAGACAAAGCAAAAAACGCACAGGGGCATTAAACATACAAGTGGATGGGGAAACTTACTTCTATTGAATCTGATGTACGGCGTGGGGGTGGCGCCTTCCTGAGGGTAGGTGTTGTAAGCGTTTCCGGCAGGGATGGAAATCTCCGTCCTTGTCTGCAAAAGTTGATGTGCCGGGGCAGAAGGCTGTATGATTTTTGAAAAGAAAAAAAAAAGGAGAGAGGAGATGAATGGTTGAATGTTCCAATATAGAGAGAAAATCCTTTTCCTTTCTCTCTATCCCACGATCTGACGTTTCGGGCGGAGTTTAAGGGGCAATTATGATTGTCCGACCGCCGTTTGGAAAACGTGCGCACTAATGGGGCACATTTGCCAGAATTTGGGCGGGATTCTAAAGCGAGTCGCGTTCCCGAGTCGGGTTTGGTCCGCGAGTTAAGTCAGCTGGCCTGCCCAAGGCGCTTTGGGCCATGTGGCTAATTTGGGCCGTACCAGGTCAGATTTACATTTTCTCAAGTCTTGTTTATTTCTTACAACTAATACTTGACAGGGGCACTTGATGGATCCATATCAAGCCCCAGTATTGGACCGGCCCAAGAGCCGTGTGAATGCCCAACCGACTCCAATAGGGCAGGTACAGTGCTAAACCCTATTAAGATTTGGTTACGATGATGATATTTCCCTGCCTATAAATAGGGATGATGGTTCCACAATTAAGGTACGCAAACTTGGCTATCAAACAATATACACACATAACCCTATTTTCTGACTAAAGTTTCGGAGTGTCTACCCTCGGGAGACGCCCGAGGTTCTGTTTTACAGGAAACCCTAACCGGTGTTCCATCTTAAAGCCGCGGTACAATTCCAGGTATCGTCAACAGAGTTGTAGTTTTAGCCGAGAACTCATTTTGAACATAACATGTCACATTCTTGAAATCTGAACTATCTGGAGCTGCTGTTTTCGGGGGCTCGTTTATCCATTTCTTGAACTGTTTTATGATATTTCTTTTGGTGGATCTCTTCTATGTTTATTTGAATTTATTACTGAATTTTACGGATTGTAAATTGGAGCTATGGATTGTCAAAATTGTGTTTGATTTGAATGCTCAAATCTGTAATTTTGAAACATCAGTTTTGCAGTGCTTAACATTTTTCTCATAGAGCTTGAACTGCTTTTCTTGTATTCCTTACGTGAAACTCCTCTTAGTTCATCCTACTTTACACTAGTTTTAACGGCTCACAAATTGGATCTTCTGTTTGGTCAAAAACCATGCTTTAATATCGCAAATTTCACATCCCCTTGCTGAAGTTTCAGAACTTAGAAAACGAGTGTCAACTTTGAGGCTTTAGTCTTCTTTTACCTACTACTCTTTTCTAATGAGGTTTTCTGATCAACAAACTCTTACCTAGAACTTCAGCTTTTAAGGATGACATCTGAAATCTTTGGAGGATAAAATGGAAAATGCATCATTGACATGAGCATCATATTAAACAAGGAAACTATTGCATATAAATATCACCATTTAGTTTTGGAATACGATTAAGTGAATCATTTAATCATTTTAAATGCTTGTTAATAGATTTTGAGAATGAACATTGTGACTCAAAGGGCAACAGGGCATGATTGTTGAGTACTTGTCTGTTTGCGCTTTTATGCTTTTGAAGAAATTGCAAGTTCCGTGCTCAAACTTGTGTTATGAGAACGTGAGACATTGCTTGTCTATGTGCCTATTGAATTGAATTGCTTGCTCCAAGGACTCGGTTGTGTACTTTACCATACCGAGGCTGCTATAGTCATGACATGTCATGTAAAAGAAATACTTTTGTATTTATTGCCATGAAATTCTTAAGACTCGGATTTGTAATTCTTCACAAGCTGGAGAAAGAGAGACTCTCAAGCCCTTCAATGGGTTCAAAACTAATATTGCCATCTCAACTCTTTGGCTCTCTTTTCCTTTTCTCTGCAATGAATTCCCATGAGTCCTTTGTTCTGTTTCCGTAAAATTAACCATCTCTTTTGTTTGCGAAACACTCTGTCATGTCAAGTTAACGCAGACTGTTTTTTCTTGCAAAACACTTGTGGTTCTCTAATTGTGTGGAAGTATGAGGATCATTGTTCCAAGGACAGCTTGCCTTCCGAAATTGAAAATACTTCGCGTTGATTTTGTAGGATATCAAGATAATGAATCAGCTGCAAATTTCATTTATTCTTGTCTGGTGCTTTAAAATTTATCCATTCAGTGAGATACTTATGACAACGTTCGAACGATGCTTATACATTCGGCATCATTGAACTCTCTTAAAGTACAGAATGATTGCTTACATCATGTTGTTGGATATCCTAAGGAAAGCTCTGCTACATATAAATGCAGAGCAGCTACACCAGCACTTAAATAATATTTCTCTCTTATTTTATCAATTTATTACAAGCAGCTATATGCATTACAGAGCGTAACAGTGCTTTCAAGAACTGATGAAATCCACGTGGAGAATTACGGTAACCCGTAATGCCATTTGTTTTGGTTGCTTTTTCTTTTCTTTTTTTTTTAGACCTTCAACTTGGAATCTGGACTTCCATCAGTAAAGCTTCCTGATTTAACCCAGTTCATTATGGGGGTTAGATGCGTCTGGCGTCCCATGCTTCCTAATTGTCTCGGCTGCTTTGAAAAATTAGAGGTTCTGGGATTAACAAAGGTTAGTTTTGATCATTCCTTTTTTCTTCATGATATGTAACTTTTCTATCATGGTTTATGAAGGTGCGATGAACATGAAATCAGCATACTTAATATGTGCATAATTATGTAAAAGTGAGACAAGAAACATCCTTGGAGACCTGTGGGTACCTTAGAAAAATATTTCATGGAATACTCCCATGAAAGACGAGGCTGGTGCTGTGTCCTGTTTGCAATGCATGGCATCACTGTGTACAACAGTTCGGTAGTCAGACTGGTGAACCTATGGAATATTGGAAACTCTCTAGAGTCAATACAGTTTCTTTTATTGGATTTACTGAGAACGTTTGCCTTTTTGTGCCTAAAATCTTTCACTAGCATAATGTGAACATTTAAATTAACCTTTTTTGTAAATGTTTGAATTATGAACCAGACTCCCATTATTTATGGGTTAATCCAGCCTTTGTTCAAGTGTTTGATCTCGGGTCTTAAGAGTCATTTGGACAAACAATTTCAGGGGATCAAAGTGTGAGCTTGGAATGTTAAAGTACATTCTGAAGCATGGAGAACTATTACGGACGATTGAATTGAACGGCTATCTAGGTTACCCCACCCAGAAAACTGTTGCAGAATGTCGATTTGAGGAGAAAGTTTTAAGACCAGGGAGCGAAAATAGTAAACCTAAAGCCCGGATTTGTCGTTTAAGTCAAAAGATTATGAATTTTCAGAAAGGAAGATTATGAATTTTCAAAAGATTATGAATTTTCAGAGAGGATCAGAGACGTATGAAATAAAATTCCTTGGATCATTCTTTTGTATGCCTGCATATTCTCCAATCTTTCCCATCTCTTGATCACCTTGTATTTTAGCTTCTTGGTTGTGATGTTGTGGAGGTGATTTGTCTAAGCCTTTGAATTTAATTTGTTTTAAGCATGGAATGGGAGATCTTTTATGCAACAAATATGCCTATGGTAAATGGCGAATTCTACACACGCATGGGAATTACAGTTACGACCTAATAGCACCCAAACAGATGCAAAAGTCTCCGTGCCCATCCAGCTAAATCTAGACAGTCATCTCAACACAAATTAAGTTGGTAAGATTTGTACTGTCGTGGTTACTCTCTTTGCAGAGTTGCTGGAATTTCGATAGATAAGATTAATCAATACTTTTAAAGTTTTTTTATGCTCAGAGCAAGATTCGTCGTACACTTTGGATAAAATAAGATTGAACCCACCCCTGCCGTTCAACCACCTAAGTTACTAACGAGCCGACAAACACATCACAACGCCTTCTGTTCGCTTTAAGAGTTAAAATTTAAGGGGGGGGGGGGAATGAAGCAAAATTTTCATGATAGCCGAGATTTTTCCAAGTTAACCAAAGGTGGTATTGTGGTTGAATGGTATAAGGATACATCCACTTTTAACCATAAGTCGGGGATTCGAAACCCATCATGAATATGGGGTTGTTGATGCCCTGCAAACATGGAAAAAAAAAAAAACCACATCGTTCAAAGTTTCCAAAGAGGAAAAATTCAAAGTTTCAAAATTAAGACAGTAATAGCACAACATTGGAAGAAATATCAAACCGTAGTGTTCTTACTATGACCAATACACAGTATTACCAATCTCTACTACCATCCTAAACTCAATAATATCTCGATTCAAATGAACATCATCAACTCGGGCTGAGTGTATGCAGTGATTTTCTTTTCAGGGTCCTTGGGATCAACAGTCTCATAGGGTATGACAGGATACGATGCCACTAGAGCGTCCAGCGCACCGACATAAACCGAGTTGTAGATCTTCCAGTACGCTGTCCTCACCACCCTGGCGGGATGAAACAGCCCTTGAAGACAGTAGTTAAGGATGAATGCTGCTCCTAATGCAACCCTCATCCCTTCAATGGCTTCTGTAATGGCGTTGATGACGTGCGGGGATGTCTCGAAAATGTTGGGCCAGACATAATTCATCAGATTAATCAAAGCATCCTCACAACCAAGTCCCACAACCCCAAGGGCCATGTGTTTAACAGCTGAAGCAGCGGTTTGACGGTGAACCAAGTCTCTGTCCATGAGAGCATCCTCCAGCAATGGTGTGACTGCATAAATATAGTCCTTACCCATCTCACCAATGTACTCGAAAAGGAAAGACAATGATTTCAAAACACCATTCTGAATGTTCAGTTCTGGGACGCGGTATTCATTCATGAGGGCAGGCAAAACTGTGAATGGAGAACAGGTTTCTGCCACAATTGCAATGGCCACAGTGGTGCAGACACGGTTCTGGCGCTCTTGAACTCTAAGATTATTCAGCAACGTCGTAAGCACATCCTGCGGACCAATGGCCTTTGCAATATAGCCAAAAGTATTTACTGTAGCGCGACGGATACCCTTCTTGTGGGCTTTGAGCATGTCAAGAAGATCAAAACAGATCCTCATCCATTCCCTGGCAGAGACATACTCGGAACCTCGATCAGCTATCCTTCCTACGAGGTCAATGCAGTTCTCCTGCACTTTTTCGTGGCGATTTTTCAGAATTGGAGTCAACCTAGGAAGCAAATCCTTAATCGGAGGAGCCATCTTAGTCATACCAATAACATTGACTATGGCCTTGAGTGCACCTAATATGGAACCTAGAACTTCTGGGAACTCTTCTCCTAAAAATTCATAAAGAACAACACCAAGATGGGCCAATATCTTTTCTTCTTCACACTGCTTAATGACAACAGCGATCCTGGATATAAGATCAGCTGCTTGTTCTCTGACCTTTGCGCTCTTATTATTTAAACGCCATTTGATGGTACAACTCATCTGAACAAGATAAGGCTTCGCTCTCTTCCCAAGGGCATTGAGAACAGCTCCAAAACCATTCAGCATCACATTCTTGGCGTCGTCGCAGGTTTGCTCTTGGAAGGCGTAAAGCATACTATCAATCAGCAGCTCTTCTAAACGAGCATCAATATCTGAAGCACCCAGATTTGTGACCACCTTCTCAATCGTGTCCATGACCATCCTTCTATAAGGTTCACTTTCGTCCTTAAGTTCTTCAACAATCATCCCCACTATATCAGCCACACCAACTTTATTTGCTATCTCAACAGTAGTCTCAACTAATTGCTTATAATTCCGACGGTCCAAAGCCATTCTTCTCACCCAGAAGTTGCGAAAGAATTCAGGAAGAATGTCATTCCTGATGTAGTCTGCCTCAACCCCCTCGGTGCTCACACACTGCTTCACAGCTCTCAGAACAATCTGTTTCATTTCTTCATAAGGTGACTGAAACTCACGAATCAGTATTGGCATCACTTCCTTGGTATAGTAACTAGCATAATTAGCCTCCATCAGCGGAATGATAAAACCAATAGCTTTCAAGAAGCCAGCCAAAGTCTTACCACGACGCAATCTCACCCCTTTCCACAAAGGCATCAATACAGAATCAAAGCTTTCGATACCATATGGTGCAGCAGCCTCAGCAAGAGAAGCAAGAGCTCTAGCAGTGATGGTCACAACCCTGGAGTTCTCATCATTCAGCCCGTGTTCTATGATTTCTATCAGAGATTTCAAGTGAGGAAGAACAGCACAACCTATCAAAATTGCAATCTCCATTACTATCTTAATACCAGTGTGACGCGCTTGCCAAGACTTCTTACTCACGCACACGGCTTTCAAGAAAGGCAACAAAGCGGGAATTCCAAGTGTAGATGCAACAATGCTGAAAGCTTTCGCGGTGGTATTCCGCACATACTCATCAATATTATCGATATCAGGACGCATTGACTTAATCATAATCGTCAAGCCTGCCGCCTTGCTGAGACTAGAGATGATCTGTCGACCCTCTACACGGGTATAGTAATCTTCATCAAGCAGCAGGGGCTCAATCACCACAAGAATTTTGTGCACAAAAGGATTTATGTCGTTTTGCAACTTTTCTAGTAGAATGTCAATGACTTTCACTAGCAAATGCCTCTCTTGGTCCTCCAATGTTGGTTGCATAAGCAATGGAAGGACGTTATTGAAGAGTGCCGGGGCACCAAAGTCAATGGCCTTTAACCTGAACTCACGAAAAGCCATTTTCCTCGCATGTTGTCCCCCATTCTTAACACGTAACAAAAGCTTCTTAATCTTTCGTTCTGTCTTATCGTCAGGAGACAGCTTTTCTTCATCTACATCCTGCATTAGGCAACCAAAAAACTGGTAGTCTTCGGGCTTCAGGAGTGGCAGACCCGGCGTCTCTTTCGGCGCATCATATGCCGGACGTCTATGTTCCTCGGGTATAAGATACCCTGCTTGCCCCAATGGTGTTGGGGTGCCAATAAGCTTCCTGGCAGGAGTTCTAATCGGCATATAACAAGGCGGAGGATCCAAAACCTTGTAGCCCTCCTGATGAGAAAACACAGCATCCAGCATGTCATCAGTCCATGGTAGATTTCTCTGATCAACTTCCATCTCCAACATCAGTCTATTATACTGTTCAATGCTGCCAATTTGACTTGGGGTTGGACTATAAAGCTCAATTCCTCCAAAAGGTGTCACTCCAGGGGTACATGTATTTTCAGCCGGTGTAGCATTCGACATCGGAGTTACACTCCCCATGGACGCCGGCGTCTCGTCCCACCTGGACTTCTGCCTTTTATTAGGGGTGGCATCCCAGAGCATCCCATCACCACCAACAGCAGAACTGGAACCTGAATCCGGTTTCGGAGTCTCATCCCATCTATTCTTCTTCACAACCGGAGGAGGTGTAGCTTCCCACTTTCCGATTCGTGGAGTTGAGGAGGATGATTCAGGCAAGTCCCAATCAGAAACACCAGTCTTTGCTTTCTTGGACACATCCTCTTCTGACTGATCCCACCTATTCCTCTTCTTCTTCTTCGATTTCTCCGCCGCCGCCTCCTTTTCCTCTGCCTCTTTCCTCTGTTTCTGTATCTCTCTTGAAAGCTCCTCTTTCTGTTTCTTCAACATCTCCTCTTTCATAACATCCGCATATGTCCTAACATCCGGAGCTGGTGTCTTGTCGAGGAAAGGATCAACCCGATCCGGCGAAAGGGTCCGATTGAATCTCCTCCGGCGATATTCATCTTCCCGGTCGATGATTTTACTTGGCTTCTTAAACCCCATATTAGTATCATCATCCTTCCCATTGCTGGGAACATCATTAAGAAACTCTCTAGGAGCAGTGTAATTAGGCAATTTTCGAGATACCTCGTAATCTGCAGCCGAATCTACGTCTTCGTTAACCTCAATCGATCTCTCGTAGCCTTCGAAACGATCGGAACTGTAAATTTCCTTGTCGAAAACGACTGCGTTAAGGGCGGCGAGTTCCTTCTCCATCCTCTTCCTCTCATCTTGAGTTCTCTTAATCTCATCGTTCCCGTCTCCTGCCATGTTTCGGTATCACAGATTAACAAAAAGAAATCCTCAATTTCCGACAAGAAACCCTAGTCTAATTTGTTCAATCCAACAACACTTACAATGGGCGAAAACAGATCCCAAATTCAGGCGCACCTATGAAACAAAAGAATCACACAATTCAGCAAACTGAACAATGAACAGAAAGATAATAAATTTTCAAAGACCAAGAAAAATCCCCAATTCTGTGCGAAATCGTGGGATTTGAATCTGAAATTCAAAGGGCGAAAAGGGTTCCACGACCAAAACCTGCCTTCGTTGATTGTCTGATCTGCTGAAAATCAATATGAAAAAAAAAAAAATAATTCTTTTCGTATGAAGGAAAACTAACAAAATAACAGTTTTTAGATTGTGCTCTCGTTGATGTTTCAATATGAGGAGGGAACATCACTTTATATAATGAGGGCAATTGCCTACTCGGATTAGGATCTAATTTACCAATCTTACTCGGATTAGGATCAATAAAAAAAATATACTGTAATAATACTCGTAAACCTTGGTCAATATCTTATTATCGAAGCAACAAGGATTTTAGTTTTTTTCTTTGTTTTCTTTTTCTCTTATGATAAATTTAACTAGGTTTTTGACCCGTGCATCGGGTACAAAATGGACTAATGTCTATTATTTTCATGTAAACAAAAATAAGTCGAGGAAATGAAAGTTTGACGAGTTAGTTTCGATGCTTTACATAAAAACAAATCGTGTTATCATGTAGTAAAGATAAAATTAATTTACATATATACAGACTATAGTTGTCATACAAATTATGAATGGCAATTAAATGAAGAAAAACAAAAACATTGATTTAAGAAGTTTACAATCTATAGAAACTTAAATCCCTCGAATTCAAACCTATGTCAATGCTCCACTTGTAAGAGAGAACTCTAATATTAAACCACCTTACTTTGCAACTACCATGAGACCTTCATGCTCTGAAGCTTTGTTTGTAAAACATTAAAAGAATTATCTGATTGGATTGCGACGTAGTTTTCACCTTGCCATTAATTACACTAACTACAGAGAGCAGCCTCGTTGGCTAATACTTCACACGCATGGCTTCTTGTGCAAACACTACTAAATACCCTCTCTGCATGCAAATTAAAAAGAAAAATTAGGAGTTTCCAACTCATAAATCTGAGGGAGTTCATCATTGGACAAGAAGAAATGTGTTTAAGCAAGCTAAGATTGAATCCTTATTCAACAAACTTATCCAATAAAAAAGTGTAGCAACACCATATATATAAACTCGAGGAAACTATAGACAGAGGAAGCAACTGATTCTCTCAGACATATACATTAGTAACATATTACAAGATTGAAAGTTTACCTAAAATTTCAAAACTTTACACTCCAAACGTTGAATCTTTAAAAAACACATTGCATGTGAATAAGAAATACATGTAATAAATATATAAAACATTCAAGAGACTACTCTAAACTAAAAATCAAAAAATTTAGAATGACGAATAGCAAAATTCATATGGATTTAGTAGTTGTTGCTGTTTGTTTATAATTTAAAAAAGTCGGGACTATTTCCTCGTAGTGTTCCAGTTCATGTTGCTATCGACACGTCTAGTAACGTTTGATTGAAGGATTTACTTCACACCGCTTCCTTGAATTTTGCTAGATGATCATTATGTTTGTGATCATAAGATTAGTGCTTAAACATACTGATTAAAACTAAAATTAATCTGGAACATCAGTAACCAAAAAAAAAAAAACCTAAGCCTCAATGTAATTAATTGGAATAACTTCATGCATGAATTGTTCAAGAATAACTATGTAATAGTCTTATCCTAAAGCTAAAAATGGGAAAGGTCTTATGCAACAGTACACATAATAGATGACAAGAGTAAAAAAGGATTCAGGGTCCATGTAACTTTGAGGTGTATCTAAAATAATATTGAATCAAAGTGAAATATAGTTTTTGGTACTAATTATCAGCAGAGTTGTGCGTATAGTTGGTCAACTGAATCGACTTATAGCTATTAGTTAATAATATTTTGTGCGTGTAACCTTGACACTTTAATCCAAAACTACCAAATCTTGCATGTTTTAATGCTGTTATAATTGTCTCAATACAGCATAATTAAAAAGGGTAGTGTTATTGCCAAAACATAAATTAGCATCCAAAACAAATTATTATCTTTTTGACAAAATTATCCTTATGTATGCAACTCAATAACCTTCTTTCTACATGCCTTTTTTTTGTTTTTGTTTTTTTTGCGAATTCCTATCACACGAAATTAAAATTTTGAGTACCAATTTTTTTCTCCCCCTCCAGAATCTAATACGAAAAGCAAAGAGCTCAAGTAAATTTATATTTCAACTTAAAAAAAAGTTATTTTGTGTTGTCTTCACTCCCATAAGCAACATTATATTATTAGTATGATCATTTTACTTGTTACTTTATGCTTTAGTTTTCAAAGAAGGTTATAGACATCTAATGAAAAAATATTTGGATTATTTTGTCCTAAATTAATGACATAATCTTGTGAAATTATACTTGAGAGTTTTGTTGAAGATAAAATCATCAATAAAAAAAAAATCAGAAAAGTTGCAAAGTGCAAACATATTTAAATTGGCACTTGCGGCAATCTTTTGTGCAATAAGATGGCTATTGGATAGTTTTCCTTGCCTTGAAATATGGTAGGAGCATATAGAAATTAAAAGTTATAAATTACGTAGTGTTATTATGAAAGCGTTCTTTTGTTATTTTTTATTGAGAGTTCATATATTGCAGTAAGAGTGTTTGAAATTTTATAATTTGCTAAAAAGGATATGAGAAAGTAGCTCGTCACTTTGTTGGAAGGGAGAAAGGGGTTGGAAAAAGAGCAAAGTGCGGAAATGTGGAGAAAGAGAGCAACCATTTGATTTGGAAGAGGGTTATTTTTGTCATAAAGATAATAATATGTTTTGGATGCTAATTTATGTTTTGGCAATATCAACACCCAATTAAAAATGTACTCAATTTATAAATGTACCTTCCCGCATAGAATCTGAAGGACCATAGCCGTACAAAGTTGGTTTACTTCAGCAACAGCGAGGTTTTAAACATCATCGGAGAAAATTGTATCTCCTGAATTTTTAGCAATCAGAACAAAAAATTAATACCACACAAAATATTCTTTCTGGTGTTAAAAAGTTTGTACCATCTTCGTAATAAATTTTATGAATGTTTGCGAAAATCACATAAATTTATCGTTAATATCGGCAATGCAATCAACGCCAGACAATAAAAATAAAATAAAACTTCGGCTTGGAATATTAGGTGACTGCCTTTCTCTGCTCGATATCAACCTCATCCCTTGTGCAACAAAGTCATCATTTGATTGATTCATCTTCAGGCCCTATATATACCATATAAAACAATGAACTTTTGATGAATCCAAATTTGATCTCCAAAACCTAGAATGTAAATTAGTATTCAACCTTTTCTTACATTCCATAGATACTCCGTGTGACTCTTCGATTGCAGCAGCGGCTATAGTATTGGAACTTGGAGAATAAGACCCTTTTTGGATTACTTGGAGGAAACCCGGAACTTTTTTTCTGCATCCGAACATTATAGCAGCCCAGAACTCTTTTGGCGAAGGAGATTGTCAGATTAACATACCCCAGTCAATTTCTTATCAAATTTCCATTGATTCGCAACTCCAGAAGGGATATGGGATAGACGGACAAATTTAAGGAGGAAAGACGGATTGTGATTTTTGAGGGATTTGGAATTTGGAGTACAGTTACTGTTTCTTTCAGTTTCTACTTTGAGACGGATTGTGATTTTTGGAGGAATTTGGAGTATAGTTACTGGTTCTTTCAGTTTCTGTTAATTTTCATTTATGATACAAGCTATGCTGAAAGTGAAAATTCCAAACAGGACAATCGATTTGAGATAGAGATAATACATGTTTTTATCCTTTCGAGTAGCTAACAAATGACATGATTTCAAAGATTCCGATGGTGTTCAGATAATGGATGTCAAATTGTTAACAACGCTTGTAAAGATATGTTTGACACCTTGAGGAAATGACATATCATATTAACTCCAATTGCAACAAGCAGTTAGCTAATAGCTACACGAGTACAACTGACTACACAATAACAACTTTCAGCAACAATACAAAGGATCAACATCATCATTGTTTCAGGGGCAATCTCCTACATATTTGCCAAGATCATAAAATAGATGGATGGAACTGTCGCAACACGACAAGCTAAGACAGAGAGCAATGTCCACAAAAGTGCCTATCTAAACTACGAATCATACGCTCCCATGGAGGTTACACCACTAAACAAAAGTGCTTAACAGCAGGGGATAACAACACTTAAAACAGAAGCAAAAGTCTCAGCATGTTCGAACGAATCCATCCATCCAAAATCATCCTTCCAATGAACTTCAGCATTCATCGAAACTACTTCAATGATTTCTTTCAAAATCATGCTGCTCATATCAAAAGAGAAAACTTTATCTGAGAGTGATACTAACAACTCAGTTTGAGCTCTTTCTTCACAAATAGAGCAGCTGAGTATAGCGAATCAGACATAGATCCAACCACTCTTCATAAGGATCATTGTCCGTACTTATCATTAATGGATATAGGGTAGTTAGATGGGAAAGATCCAAACAATACTTCACATTCCATCTTGAATAGTCGGACTCCAAGGCAAAAACATCAAAAACAACAGCTTAGGTTCCTTCAGTCCTATAAGACATAAATCTCCCCGGATCACCCCAAAATAGAATAATTTAGGCCAGTGTTGATCGTATTCTTCATCTTCTGGGGCAATGACAAAGCCTTCAGGAAGTCTAGCTTTGATTGGCTTCCGAAAACCCTTTTTTATATCAAGACTTACCGAGAACAACTCTAAACTAACCCAATAAAGATCTCCATTCCATAATTTTCCATGGCTATAAATAATCCCACGACCGCAATCAAGTTTACAGCTGGCATCCTTCCAATTCCCAGTCTCAGATACATATATAGCTATTTTATACCATTCATCTTCAGCATCATCCCAAACATACACCACTGTATAGCGATCAGATTGCAAAGGATCATATGCAATATTCAGACCCACAAATTTACGAATGGTTTGAGGACAAATGACCAGACTGAAGCCCTGGGCAGCATAAAACTCACGAAGAAAAAGCTGAGGTAGAACCTTATGGTGACGAGTAGTAGGGTTATACACAATAAATTTCATATAGCCATCAAGAATCGGCCTTAGAGCAACTACCACTAAACCATTGCAGGAATGAAACCCCTCAAGACGTCTAACATCAAAGGTGATTGCGAAGTCCGCTACAGTATAACGCATTACATTCAAATAGGCTTCATGAAGGGAAGTGAAGCTGACCTCTCGCTGGCGATGGATTCCGGGTCGGAGCAAGAAGTGGTCGCCGTTGTGCAACCGGCCGGAAAGAGGGGCTGGAAATGATTGAGAGCCATTTCTTAGATACGGCTTGGAATCGAATGATGGACTCCGCCGGTGAACAAACTAAGATTAGTGTCAAGAGATCTTCATTCTCGGCTATGGCATTAGCCGAGATCACAGATGAATCCGAGCAGTCCTCGTCGAGAGGTGGGGTTTTTAGGGTTCATTCATCGGAATTGGATTTCGAGGGGGAAAGACTCAATGAATCAATCGAAGCTGCAGGATAATTGTATGAAATAAGGTTTATTTGAGCATTGGATTTTGGGGATGATGATACTCCGGCTCGACGCATTGTGGATTCTGCCACCAGTAAACCATACCACTCTGCTTTGTTTGGGCATTTTGAAGGCACAGCAGTACAAAAAGTAGAACTTGAAATACTGACATGATTAGTCCCTGTTGTTTAACTTATTTATATCTTTCCCTCAAATTGAGCAAGCTCTATCTTCGTGATTACATAAATGTCCTTTTTTTTCTTTTAAGAGATGGTACCTATTTATTAATTAAAGATACCTAATCTATTGCATTGTATTCTATTAGAAGCTAAATTATGCAGTTTATGAATATCTTGTCTACTCACTTTATTAATTCACAAGAATGAAAAGAGGAAATTAATGAAAATAACAAAGAGGTAATTACTTGAATTTCAGTAGGAATTAAAGTCGACCTTAGACACCCGGTAAGACTTCACAATCGGCGTTTATTTTAGCTCAAGTGATACCCAGATTTTCAGCCTCCGGTAATGCTAAAAGACATGTCATTGTTTCAGTTTAAAAGGGAGAGAGAGCATTTATATCAACCGTCTTAAGTTGCATAACCATATCATGCTAGGAGATATTTTCCAAGCCGCTGACACTCTTCTTATTTGTGGGTTGAAAGAGCCATCAAATATGATCAAGGAATCCAAATTTTTGGTGGACTGTTGGAGCGGCAGCAATGGTGATCCATGCTTTAATCTTTGTTGGTTCTATATTTTAAGATTTACCTTATCTTCCTTTTTTTTTTAGATTGTATTTGCCATTTACTACGGCAGTAAAATTTGTCATTTTCAATAACTATTTAACACACGTTTACCTATCTAATGTTTTACTCTTACTATTCCAAAATAATTGTATAGTATGAATTTTCAATTTGTATATATTTTACATTAAAAATGAGCATCTAAATTGGAGAAAAGTTTTAGAATGAAGGGAATTCCATAATATATACTATAAAAAAGAAAAATATGTCACAAAATACGTACGGTTAAGCGTTATTCCTTAAAGATAGAAAAACCAATTGTCACAAATACTTAAAGATAGAAAGTCCAAAGAATGATAAAGTTCATCGGAGTCGATTAAGCGTCATTCCTTGAAGGCAAAAAAAAAAAGATAATCCTCATTATCAACATCGACCATTTCATTTTAGCCTAGCTAGGCAGTGTTTCTAATGTTAAGAAATGACCAAATTTGTTCTTGCCCATGAGGGTAAAATGACATAGTCCACGAAGAATCTTCCTCAGTAAGAGAAAAAAAGAAAGAAATACATAAAGCTTTTGTTCATTGAATCCATCTGTCCACTGTGATATTCGTGAACGTGTGAAATAACAATGCAATGCACAGTAGGAAAAGATGACGTAAAAAAATGTCAAAGCTATGGTGAAGTGTAGCACATATATATCATTTATATTAAATTTCTTATTTTATTATATTTTTTCAACCATATATAGATATCTCTTTACAATGTAACTAAAAACATATACGAATATGGTAGGTCTGCAACCAACCTCAAATCTCTCATGAATATACATGAAAGAAAAGCATCAAAATGTAAATATATCACAATAATAAATCAAAGATATATGCTACAATAAATATATTCGGTTTAACGATAATTTATAGGGTATACCACAACCATATTTGATATTTTTCAATCTCAAGTTGTTCTATCCCATGATTAATTCTGCCTGTCGGAGGGACCAGAAGGAGGGACTATATCCCCTTTGGGAAGCATGTTGAACACCATATGTTTTTGATTCAGAAACTTCTGCTCATAAATCTTCAGAATGTCTGTGGGTTTCATCGAATTATAACCTTGATCATCATCGTTCTTCATCAGTAATTCCCTCCCAGGTCTTGCTGCCAAGCATGAGCCAAAAAGCAAGACCACAAGCACTGAGATACACAACTTTCGATAAAAAGAAGAAAAAGTAGCCATGTTAATTGAAGGATTTTTGGGGTATGATTATTTTGCTCAAATGACATGTAAAATTGTTAAGGAAAAATGGATTAATGGCGTGCATGGTGATGCATATTTATAAAGGGAAAAATCTATGGTTTAGTCTCTAACGTGTGGGATAATACAAAGAATTACGTAGTTCGAAATTTTAAAACTAGATATCATACGCAGCTGAGTCCCAATGTTTGGATGTGAGACGGAAAGCCGTATTCGCTAATTCTTTCTTCTTCTTTTTTTATTTTTTTATTTTTTTAAAGGGTTTTTAAGTTTAGCGAATATAGGATATGTTGGAAATTTTAGTTTGTAAAATAAAATAATTAATTTAAAATTGAAGGATAAAATTAAGTTGGCAACCCTTCACATGCTTGGTGGTTATTTCCTACAAGCCAAGGGTTGTGTACTTATTTTGTATCCTTTTATTTCTGCAAATGTTGCCTATAAATAGGTGAACTAGTACAGGAATTCATTTTAACTTTTGCATTCCAAAATCCTGAAGAACATTCAATAAGTTGCAAATTGCATGTTCTTGTGTTCTTAAGTCCTAGAGGCAAATTGCCATTCAACCCTGTTTGCAATCTAGTGGGGGCAAATATTATCTTAAGGGTAGTGTTTGACACGATTAGAGCACTTTCAATTCTTTGTGAATTTCCTTTTGTTGTTGAATTTCAGATTCCATCAATAAAGTTTCTTTTCTCCATCTTTGTTCTTTGGTTCGTATTGTGTTGTTTCTTTTGTTTCCATCCCCCGATTTCTTTCAATCTTAAGACAATATTTATCATGGAATCAACACAAGAGTCTGCCATGAAAGTGATGAACCAAGACTTTGTTAAGTTGGATCGTCTTGATGGATCTGGCACTAACTTTAACCGTTGGAAGAACAAGTTGATGTTCTTTCTCACGGCCTTGAAAGTGGCTTATGTTCTAAGCCCCAATTTGGAGGAGATCCCACCGCCTGCGGAAGGAGAGTTTGATGCAATCAAGAAGAACCGTGCACAACGTGAGGAAGATGAGATCATTTGTCGTGGTCACATACTCAACAACGTGTCAGATTCAGTTTATGATCTCTTCTCAAATGTGAAAAACCCAAGAGAGATTTGGGCTGCTATTGAAAGGGAGTATGCAAATCAGAAACAAGGGGCAGATAAGTTTCTCATTAAAAACTACTTTGAATTTAAGTTACTTGCTAATTCTCCTCTTATGAATCAAATTCACAATCTCCAAGTTATAGTATCAAAACTAAAAGACATTGGTGTTGAAATCTCAGAATCTTTGCAAGTTGGGGTAATTATTGCCAAGTTGCCTCATACTTGGAACGATTATCAAAAGAAACTGTTGCACACTTCTGAGAATTTGACTGTGTCTAATGTTTTGAAACACTTGAGAATTGAAGAAGGGGCAAGACTTCTTCAAAACTTGGAAATTGGAGAAAATTCTAATAAAGTGAATTTTGTGGCTGAAAATGGGGCCAACAAAAACAAGAGGAAGAAACCTGGAAATTCTAATGACAAGAAAAAGGATAAAAAATGTTTCAACTGTGGTGTAAAGAGTCATTTTAAGGCCGATTGCAAGTCTAACAAGAAGCAAAAGGGAAATAACATCCCAAGTGCAAATCTTGTTGAAGATAGTGCACCGGTTGTGGCGGTTATCTCGCTTGGAACCGTGACCGAGTTGAACATGGCAACACCACTTTCTTCCAAGGATTGGTGGTATGATTCTGGGGCTGGAATTCATGTGGGCAATGACAAGGATCAGTTTAAGAACTACGTTGTTCTTGAAGGACATGAAGTTGTAATGGCAAATGGTGTTAGGGCTCAAGTTCAAGGCAAAGGAGAAGTGCATTTGCAATTCACCTCGGGAAAGAAACTAGTCCTAACTAATGTACTTCATGTTCCTAGTCTTGTTAAGAACCTTGTATCAGCCGACATCCTTAATAAAAAGGGATTGAAGGCAGTCATTAAATGTGACAATGTAATCTTGTCAAAGAATGGGGTGTTTGTAGGAAAGGGGTACTCTTGTAATGGCATGTTCAAGTTGAGTATCAATAAGATGAATGATGTTTCTATTTATTCGATTGAGTCTTCTTATTTTCTTTGGCATGGTAGATTAGGACATGTGAGCCATAAAGTTGTTTCTTTTATGTCTAAAAATGGCCTAATCAATTTAAGTGACTTGGAAAATAAGAAATGTGAAACTTGTGTGCAAGCCAAAATAACAAAGTTACCATTTCCTAAAGTTGAAAGAAATACATCTTTGCTTGAATTGGTGCATTCGGATGTATGTGAACTAAATGGATTTCTAACTAGGGGAGGTAACAAATACTTTGTGACTTTCATAGATGATTGTTCAAGATTTGTGCAAGTTTATCTAATGAAAACAAAAGATGAAGTATTTGGTATGTTTAAAATTTACAAGTCCCTAGTTGAGAATCAATTAAGCAGGAAAATAAAAATTTTGAGAAGTGATAGAGGAGGTGAATACTTCTCGAATCAATTCTCAAAATTTTGTGAAGATAATGGTATTGTGCATCAAACTAGTGCACCTTATACACCACAACAAAATGGTTTGGCTGAAAGAAAAAATAGAACTCTATGTGACATGGTAAATGCTATGTTAGTGAGTTCTGGATTGCCAAATAATTTGTGGGGTGAAGCTTTATTGGCTGCATGTCATTTGCACAATAGAATTCCGTCCCTTAAGACTAAAATGTCACCATATGAAATATGGAAGGGAAGAAAACCAAATCTGAATTATGTGAAGGTTTGGGGTTGTGTGGCTTATTATCGTGTCCCGGATAACAAAAGAACAAAGTTGGGACCTAGAGCACTCAAAAGTATGTTTGTGGGCTACGCTGAAAATTCTAAAGCCTATAGGCTACTAGATGTTGATTCTAATGTTATTGTAGAATCAAGAGAAGTGCAATTTTTTGAGAATTTGTTTCTCAAAGATTCAAAAGTAAGTAGTGGTCCTTTTTATGTGCCTAATACTACTCAAAATGTGGCAATTCCAAGTAGTTCTTTTAGTGAGCTCAAAAGGAAAGAAAATGATTCTCCTATGGAACCAAGGAGAAGTGAAAGGCAAAGGAAAGAAAAACAATTGCCTTCGGACTTTATATCTTCTCAGGCTATTGTTTTCTTAGTTGAAGGCAATAG